CTCTCTCATAGGCTCGGACTATGTCGGGAGCAATCTCTAGAAGTTCTGTCCTGATAAACCAGCGGTCATCCTCCAGTTCTTGATATGCAAATCTGACTTTATATTGTTTTTGCGGACGACCTCTTCCTCCAGTTCTAAATACATCTTCGGCTATAATACGGTCAATGTCGTACCTCCCGTCCATGTCGGGAGGAATCATCGATCTCCTCGACGGGAATTGTTGACTTGTTGTGCAAGGTTACAACTTTGAAGCATGGAAAACTGGGCAAGTATGGAGGTGTGCTGGAATCTCTACGGTATAGGACGGCCCATCCTCTCCGCCCTTAACTTCTAAAACTGGCCACAGTCCTCGATACGTAGGCAACAGTTTTTGTGAAATGTTTTCCTCAGGAGCAAATTCTTTGGACTTGACCCAGACTAGGTCGCCTACTTGAAACTGAGATGGGCGACGGTGCTTATTAGCTTGCTCTATCATCTTATGCTGGGCCTTCCTGAGGTTCTCTATTACCGTAGCAATCTCTTTCTCATGCTGTAGCGCAAATTCCCTAGTATCGGGCGGTGGCCTCTCGATCTGATCCCGGTTTAGTACCTCAAACGGTCTACCCGGTCTAAAGGACTAATGCAGTTCGTTGGGAGTGCAACATGTTGCTAGGTGAACGTTGTTGTTGTACGCATTGGCTACGGGAGCATCTCGTCACAGTTGACTTGATCGGGTCTAATATACATTCTTAGACCTTGCTGCAGGACTTTATTCATTTGTTCAGTCTGACCGTTAGTCCCTGGATGGTGGTCGGATGACATGAGCAAATTGGAACCATACACCTTCATAAGTTCCTGCCAGTTCTGACTAGTGAACCTGGTATCTCTGTCACTAACTATAGACAGCGGTAGACCATGTTCATTGACCCAATGATAAAAAAACTTAGCTATTACTAAATTTGTGCGTGCCTCAGAAGGCAAAGGAACAAAAACTGCGTATTTGCTAAACCTATCGACTATGACCATGACTTGGCTCTTGCCATGCCTACTCTTGACCCCAGCGTCCATGAAGTCTACGGACACAGACTCTCCGGGTCCTGAGAGAATAGGCAAGGGTCTGAGAAGACCCAACGGGGCTCGCGTCGTAGTTTTGTTGCGCTGGCATACCTTGCAGCTATGCACGTACTCGATACAGTCAGCTTTCATGCCAGGCCAAGTGTAGGCACAAATCAGGTTGGCTAAAGTCTTCTGCCAGCCGAAGTGCCTTTCAATGTCGTGGCATTCCCCTAAGATCAGACTACGGTGCTCTTCGGTATTGGGGATGCACAACTGGTCTACGACGTCTGTCTTCTTAAACAACAACATGTTATTGGTGTGGTAGTTAGGCTCACTAGCTGGATCTTCCTCAACTCTATTGAGGAGATTTCCATAGATAGGGTCATGTGGATACGCATCTTTGATCTTCTATTGTAAGTTTGACCCCACGTCCAGGTAGTGAACTATAGCTCCAACGTAGTCGGCTCTTCTACTAAGGGCATTTGCAACCACATTATACTTTCCTTTGATTGGCTTGAGCTCGAAGTCGGACTGATCTATCTCTGTGTTGCAATCATCAGTCATAATGTACAAACACACAAGTGCTTGAACACATACAGCATACAAATGTACATACATACAAATGTACACAGGAACAGATAAGGTAGAACSKRWCKCWKRTATCTGCGTTTCGAAATAACAACATGAGTAGCACAACGCATCAGGCGATAGACCCGACATTGTGTTTCTGTCGGTCGCCTGTCCGGCGTCGTCAGGGGTCGTGTAGCTACCTAGCGCAAGATGACTATGGCATTCCCTATTCCTACTTTATATTCTTCATTCCCACAATGATTAACCTGACAAGGCCTGGTAGCTCCGAAATCTTCTCGAAACGTCCGAAGTCTGGTATAGTAGTTTAGTCGAAAGGTACCAAAATCTAAAGGTCCTACGTTCGAGGCCAGGTCAACAGTTCTCAAGAAAAAACAGGAGTTCCCGACGCTCCTAATTTCGAAGACCACAGTTCGAGGCCAGAGAAAGACAAGAAAAATAAAGGAACAACAGTCCTAATTTTAAGGGCCACAATTCTAAGCCAGAAAGAAGCCAGAAGGAGAATAGAACCAAGGAAAAAGTGCCCGCTATTCTAAAATTTCGTTACCATTTCCGATTGGTAAAGCACAAAACCCAAATTTTCCAGCAACCGTTCATTCTGGCGGAGAATTTCCTCAGGCAATTGTCAAAGTAATAGTCTGGAAAACCTCTCTCATACAGCTCCATTTTCAAGGTGAACAGAAAACAGGCGTTTGCGCCTGGCATTGTTGTGAGTGTCTTTGCTCTATGCAGACATGCAGTAATGACCGACATCTTTTGCTGTTTATCTGAATAAGACGAGAAGTCCTGTAAACCTTGAAATAAAAGACCTTGATGAATGATGAACCTCTCGTTCTTATGAGTGGCTGCACATAATACTTTACTCGGCTGATGAAAAACTTTGATTGTACATCCCAGAAAATCCCAGGTATCGCTGCTGCTTATCAACTCCAAAACAAGATTGTCATCATAGCACTTCCTGAACTTGTTCAACCTGTTCTTAGCCATTGCCATAGCGTACTCTGAGCCCCGCCGATATTTGGAGAAAACAGACACATCGTCAACCAACCTCATCCCAAATAGCAACTTCCGCTCCTTTCCTAGATGCGTCAAAAACTCGAATTCATTGGATGCGCATAATAGACAAGCAAGTGCTAGGCTGGAAGATTTTCCCATTGGAATACCCACTTTCTGCTTCAAAACAACACCCATAGCAGAGGCATAAGTATTATTCAGGTCGAAATCTACCATTGTCACTAACATCGAAAATCTCACCCGCACAAAGCCCGTTGGGGAGTTCTTTCGTTTGCCAGTCATAGCCCCTTTCCTTCGTTTTTTAACAAAAACGTCTGAATAACCCTTTTCTTCGTACGTGTTGACCAGCCATTCCACCGCCTTGATTATAGATGAGTGGGGCAGAGCCGTGAACATCTCTTTAACATCAAAACTCATCGCTATTACATCCTCCTCTTCCCCTATGCTGCTATTAAGCTCCTTTAATCCTTGAACCATATCATCGGTGCATCTTAAATTGAAGTGCAATTCCCGCGGCAGTGTCCACAGCAGGTGATTAACAGCTTTTGACACAACTCTACTCATGCGGACTAACGAATCAGAAAAGGACGGGCAAATTGGTCGCCACTTCTCAATATTCTTGTGTTTTGATATTACATACGTCTACCCAATAGTCCTTGCTCATTGAATGAGGTAAGTTTTCCAAATCCTAGCTCCATGTAACGTTTTTTTATTTTGTAAACGATTTGCTCCTCACTCGTCACTACCTTATCGAACCCCACATTCTTCGTAAACAGAGTTTTCATACCTTTTTGAAAGATAGTCTGACAGCAAACATAGGTGTCCCCTCCATTATGATCAATAGGGCAAATAACCAGATCAGTTAGAAGCTTCTTCAGTGACCGAATCTCTGTTATGCCATCTTGCAAATCTACCGTACAATTCTGACCACCCTTATTAACAAAACAACTACGTAGATCAACATCAGAAATTGAAAAAATACTCGTGTCATTTTGGATGTCACTCAGCCCGGCAAAAATAGTGGTCCTCAGCGTGCTTAGATTTTGATGGAACTCAGGACAAACGATGTTCTTACCGTTCCTGGCGATGGCTAGAATCCAACTAACCTCGCTAAATCTGAAGGATACATGTCCGTCACGCCTCGAAAAATTCAGTCCTTTGCATTCACATACAAGATCAGACTGTCGTGCATTACTTTGAAAGTTATGTAGCAAATCCCCTGCTGACTTATTCTTGACCCATACTACCCGAAGTTTACGACAAATAATTTGTTGAAGCGCCTGTCCATTGATGATGTCCTAACCGTAGATAAGCAAAGATCCCTTACTTTTTCTTCGAAAGAGCTGAATCAAACGGAATACGAATCGTCGTTCTTATCCTAAGTTTCAAAGAAAACTTATTCTTGACAACACGAGTTATCTTCGCTCGAAGAGTTGACCGACTCTCCTTCCTGGAAAAGCATCTAACACTATTGTATAGCTGAATGAGCCTATCCAGCGACTCATGGTAAGGCTTCTTGCATGCCGAGGGGTTTCTCAATACGTTCACGAAATCGTTCTTCATTTTTTCAAACTTTGAACATTATCTGGAAATCTTCTCAAAGACAAAATTAACCCTCGGTGCTATCTTCCCCCTGTAGTGTCTAAACAGTTCCAACCCACTATCTGTCCTAACCATTGATGATCCATAACATCTTTTAAGTATTTTCCATTTATCAGCCAACATATCACCACCACCTACATATTTAACCGTCACTGTCTCAATGTGTCGTTGAAAGCACTTGTCCAAAATCTTGAGTAGACTCGTGGAGACAAACCCTGTAGATGACTCGAAACAGAGGAGCGCCCGTGTCTTCGGCACAATATCAATTATATCCCTTGACTCATTTTTCGATATGTTCCTTTTCCTTTCCCGTTTTTCCGATTTTTGCTTCCTCTCCCGTCGTCTTCCACGAGTGGGAATAGAATTAAGAAAAGGATTAAAAGTTCGAATGAAGAAAGATTCTACAAATAATAGTTGGTCACTACTCACACATGCGATAGGTATTGCAACATAGCTCCCTACTTTGTTATGTCGTAGCCACTGATATAACCGATGGTTTCTGACATGCTGATTCAACGAAGAATTTACCCTATATAAGTGCTCTCTCCATCTATGTCGAAGTGATTTTCCTGAACAACCAACTTAAGTATGTTTGTACCAAGGTGAGACCAGAACATAAATAAGCGGACCAGGACAGGATATAAAATCGTAACCCACAGAGAAGAGATAGCGGATATAGGGAAGAAGTTTTTCGCACCACGGAATCTGTCGAAGAAGAATCAGGAAGATAACTGCCAATCTAAACACGTTATCGATCTTACCGTCTTTCTGTAGCGTCTCATTTTCGCGCACTTCTCTACAAGCAAGGGCAAGTTCGTTAATCTCACCAACGCTCGGTAGTCGGTCCTAGCATCCTCCGTTGTTCGCATCATCTTCATCGTCTGATTCTTCATGTCCCTCTTCTTCATTAGAGTCCCCTTCACCAATTGTGCGTTGTTTATTGCGTTTGCCAAAGGCGCGCTCCGTGTATATATCTGCAATTTCAGTAGCTGACGCCTTGATTGTAACATACTCCAGTTTTTCTTCCGTGCACAATTTCTCGATCTCCTTTTTCGTCAGTTTCGTCAGTTCTCCACATACCCTTCTTCGAAAACCTTCCCGATCCTCGTTGTTCAACTTCACGAATTTCACACTTGTTTGCCCTTTGTCACTTGTCTCTCCGCTTTTGCTTGGGCTTGTCGCTTTGTTGAGCCGAATTCTCAAACTGACCGGTGAACCACTCTTCCTCGCTAATCTCTTCCTTTTTTGACTCGACGTTGTGTGGATAGGTGTTGTTGCAGCACCAACCCGACCAATCCTCTCCTTCAACATCTGCACCTCCCTTTCCGCCATATCCTTGTCATCTCTCAATCTCTGATAGGCTTCCGCTAGCTTCACATACTCAGGTGTTGGCTCGCTTGACCCCTTCATATTTTCCTTTGAAGGCCCCGAAGCTTCTGCAGCCGGTCGTTTCATTCCTACTTTCAATTGTTCCACCTGCTCCTTCAGATATATAACATCTTGAATCAGATGCTGGTTGTCCGTTCGCAGAGCCGTAAGTTCCTGATCAGTCTGGTAGCCACGACACAAGTTCCTCTGGAGGCCTGTTTTAATCTTGCGATTTCCTCGTCCTTCTTCTTGTGCTCGTCTTGAGTCAGATTCTTCTGGGTCTTGTTCTTTATCCTCCTTTGGACCTCCTCTGTTGGTGTTGCTATCAGTCGTACTCCTTCTCCCACCTTCTTCCCTAATAAATCTTCACATACTCGCCTCATTTGTCCCTCCACCATCTGTCCAATACTAGCTTTGAAGTCTTCCTTGTCTTTGGCCTCTGCGAGTCTTTTCTCTTCAAGCTCTTTAGCCTTCTTCGCGTCTTCTTCCTTTTTAGCCACCTCTTCCTTCTCCTTTCTAACCCGCTCCCTTTCTTCCATCTCTCCGGACATCCAATTCCACATCTTTTTCACCTTCTCCCTTTGATCAGGTTGCCACGGTCTGCGATAGCCGTTGTTGTGCCCGCCGTTGTATGTGCCGCTATAACCGCTGTTATATGCTCCATTGTATCCGCCGTTGTTGTCGCCGTTGTATCCATTATTGTACCCGCCACCGGATCCTTCGTAATATCCTCCAGATCCCCGGTTGTTACGTACATCATTTGACGGTGTTTGGTAAGGAACAATAGTTCCTGGAGACGGTAGGATCGCAGCTCCATTTAATGATGACGCCTGGTTTCCTTGATTTGCCTAGCTAGCCTGGTTCGCTTGCTGCTCCATGTCCCGCATCCTGGTTCGACACTCCCGAATAAAGTGTCCAGGTCTCCGACAATAGTGGCATACTGGACGTGAATCCATTGTAGGAAGGAGATAGTTGCCTATGCAAGATAATAGAAGTAATAACAAGAGTAAGGTACCAAGCCAAGATACTAGCGCATTCCTCATACGAACGAAGACTGTTTAGCTCTACCCAGCATAGATTAGATAAGTAGTATATAAGACTTGTGACACAGATAATGATAGTGGTAGTGATAGTGGTGATGGAAAACACAATCACACAACCGTAGTACTCTTGCTGCATTGGTTATTGCGTGGACTAGTGTTGCAATCATCAGTCAGAATGTACAAACACACAAGTGCTTGAACACATACAGCATACAAATGTACATACATACAAATGTACACACATACAAATGTACACAGAAATAGGTAAGGTAGAACCGAGCGCAGGTATCTGCGTTTCGAAATAACAACATGAGTAGCACAACGCATCAGGCGATAGACCCGACATTGTGTTTCTGTCGGTCGCCTGTCCGGCGTCGTCAGGGGTCATGTAGCTACCTAGCGCAAGATGACTATGACATTCCCTATTCCTATTTTATATTCTTCATTCCCACAATGATTAACCTCACAAGGCCTGGTAGCTCCGAAATCTTCTCGAAACGTCCGAAGTCCGGTATAGTAGTTTAGTCGAAAGGTACCTAAATCTAAAGGTCCTACGTTCGAGGCCAGGTCAATAGTTCTCAAGAAAAAACAGGAGTTCCCGATGCTCCTAATTTCGAAGACCACAGTTCGAGGCCAAAGAAAGACAAGAAAAATAAAGGAACAACAGTCCTAATTTTAAGGGCCACAATTCTAAGCTAGAAAGAAGCCAGAAGGAGAATAGAACCAAGGAAAAAGTGCCCGCTATGTCTGTGGCCCACCTAGTAAGCTTAGGTGTCATCTTGGCCTGCATCTTCAACCACCTCAACATCTCGTGGTCTGAATAGACTTTGAAGTGCCTCCCAAGCAAGTAGTGTCTCCAGTGATTTAGCGCTTGCCTGAGAGCATAGAGTTCCCTGTCATAGGTAGATGTCGCTACCTTCTCTGAAGGCAATCTAGCGGACATGAACTCTACAGGTCTATACCCATTGCCATCGTCCTACTGTAAAACAACGCCAATATCATATTGACTTCCATCAGTAGTGACAACAAAGGGTAAAGATGGGTCAGCGACCTTGAGGACTGGCTATTTGATCAAGGCCTGTTAACCTTTTCAAGGTCGACGTACAGTCTTGGTCCCACTTCCAGATTGCCTCTTTCCTTAGCAGTCTGCGAAGGGGAGCAACGATTGCGGAGAAGTTCCTCACGAACTTCCTATAGTAGTTTGCCAATCCTAGGAACGACCACAATTTTGTGAGGGTACGAGGGGTTGGCCAATCTCTAATCGCTGCAATCTTGTTGTCCTCAAGTGTTATGCCATCACCATCCAACACGTGGCCCAAGTATAAAATTTATGTTTTGGCCCACTCACACTTCTTCGCATTGATCTTGAAATTTGCTTCGTGCAACTTGTCCAAGATCTGCCTCATATGAGCCTCGTGCTTCTGGAGGGTCTTGCTGAAAATCAAAACATCATCTAAGTACACAACCACAAATCTATCCAACCATGGCCTAAATAAATTGTCCATACAATGCTGGAAAGTGGCGGGTGCGTTGGTTAGTCCAAAGGGCATAACTATGAACTCATAATGCCCATATCTAGTCTGGAACCCCGTCTTGTATTGATCATCAGGGAGGACCTCTATCCGGTTGTACCCTGACTTCAAGTCTATCTTGGCAAAGTATGTGCAACCCTACACCCCATCTAACAGATCGTCTACACGGGGTAAGGGTTTTGCATTCCTTACAGTGACAACGTTAAGACCCCTATAGTCTATCCACATTCAAAGTTCTCCCTCTCTCTCGGGGACAAAAAGAACAGGTGCTCCTAATGGAGACCTGCTCTTCTAACTGCTCCTTTACTAAGTGTGCGAACGCGGGAGCACTAAGGCAGCAGTGCGCCAGAGGGTTATCTACTCCTGACACATGAAACAAACCTTGACATCGCTTGAAGGACTAGGAAGCCTACACTCATGCTCTCTTAAATGTTGTGTGGCTCCTGCTGCCTCTCCCCAGTCCATACCTAGGACCGTATCAAACGGGAGATTATCCTCTATGAGGAGAGTCAGGGAATGGAGAGGCGGAAATATGTCTGGACTTCCTCGACATAATCCGCGATTCGCATAGTGCGATTATCTGCGAGGATACTGACTATGGGTTCTTCTAACTTTTGGACTTGCAGGTTCAACTTTAGCTTCTGCAGCGCTTGACGGCTAAAAATGTAGCTACGGGTGCCCCACTATCTATTAGGGCCCCTACTCTGCCTCTAAAGACCTCTACATCTACTAGCAATAGTTGTCCTTTCCCATCCTTCTTCATCTCGGCCCAGGCTGGCATCCTCTCCTTCAACTCTTCTGCCAGTCCTGTGAGGGAAGCGCCTAGAGAGACTCTAACACAAGCAGTCTCTGGACAGCTAACTAGGCGTTGGCCAGCAACCTCTGCCTTAGGCTCATGTGGGTTGGGAGTTTCTTTGTGGCGTGTGCACTCTTCTCCACATGGCCTAGGGGTAAGGGCAGTTCCGACCCCTACGAGTGGTTGCCTTTTGCTGCCTCTGCAGTTGATCGACGAGCATTCCTATACTTGGGGCAATACTTGATGATGTGCCCAGGGTCACCACAGTAAATGCACTGGCCATCATCGATTCTCCTCTGCCAAAGTGTTTGGTCCATGCCCAACGATTCCCAGGGTCTGACCTAGGGCAGACTAGGGTTCCATTCACCCCTCCTGGGAGGTGATCGATTAGATCGTGGACGGTTTCGCAGGGGACCTTAACCCCTACCTCCCTCGTGGCGGTTTCCTCTGCCGCCAACCCCCTGACTGCCCTGTCCTCAACCACCTGAGGACTGGCCACTTTGGCACAGGCCTCTTCCTCTTCGTTGTGACCTCCCTCCGGCTGCGACAACAGCATAAGTGCTCCCCTGACTCACACTACTCTCCTCCTCCTCGAGGCCCTACTCAATCCGACTATACGGGACCTCCTCCACACCACGTTCATCTAAAGTGAGGATCAAATGATCCTTGGTCATGACTTGGCTAGAGATGGTACGACTCTTCCACTTTTGGCTTTTGTCCAAGTCCTTGTGCCAGAAAGTGGAAGCTGGCATGGATTGTGCCTCAAAAACCACAACATCCCTACTCAATGTATCGTAGGTCATGTTGGGTTGTTTACTCTTCTTATAAAAGTGCCCATGCCAACTCTCGGGCAGGGCACAAAAAAATAACTGAACCAATTGGAGCTCAGTAACCCCATGGTCAGGGATGACGACTAACTCATCTATCACACCCTTGAGTGCCCTAGCACTCTTCCATTGTCGCAAGTGAATGGTTTGCAGTTTGTCAGAGGCCTTGAGCCCCCTAGTGATATCTGCAAACCGATCTCGAAGGGCTTTCAAAAACTCGCTTAAGGGCGTGATCGCAGAGTAGGCGACCATATCATTATCACATCTGGCAGCGCGGGCTAATGATCTGCCAAAACTAGAGGCCTCATCTCTGAGGGCGTGGAAGGGGATGATTTCTTGGAGGTGCACATAAGAATTTATGTTGGCCTCCCAGTTATCGAAGTTCTCTCCCATTTTCCCATTGTGGGGATCAGGGAACTTCACCTTAACACGCTCTCTACGGGGGCGTGCTTCCTCCTCCTTTGGGGGCATTGTCTTGGCGGCTTCTATAGCGCCTGTGCAAAACCTCTCTGTGTTATCTAATTGTACTTGCACTTCTCTGCCCACACGCAGCATCATGTCACGTGCAAAGTCTTTAAACCTAAGTGTATGGACTGCAAGGCGATATCATGGCCCCTCTTTGCTCTTGTTGCGCCCTCAACAATACCTCTACGTTTTGGGACAGGAGTCCGATCTGGCTCTTGAGATCAGCGGTCTCATCCAACTCTCATCCCCTCTTTGCAGTCTCATTCAGTCTCTTCTCCATCTCGTCCGCCGCCTCCATTCGCATTTTCCTTTCCCTTGTGAGGCGCAACTTCCACCCCAGCCTCTTCTCCTCCTCCATTGTCTGCCGACGCAAGGGATTTTCCTTCGCGTAAATCTCCTTTATCGCCGCCTCCCCTCTCAGCCTGGGGAACAAATAACATCGCTTCCTCTTCTTCCCCCAGCGACAGGTTAGCCACCCACTCAGTCACCATCTTTTCCAGCCTTGTGTCTGCCGGCTTCGTGCCACTTGACTCCCCTTTCACCTCTCTCCTCCTATGCATCTCCAGAGGAGTGTCTTCTTCTTCTTTTTCTTCTTCTTCTTCTTCTTCTTCTTCTTCTTCTTCTTCTTCTTCTTTTCTTCTTCTTCTTCTCCATCATCCACTAAGGCTGCATCTTCCTCTTTCTCCTTTTGCAGCCTCCTCAACTCCTCCTCCAACCCTTTTTCCTTTTTATCTTTCTCTTCCAGGAGTGCCACCTTCTTTCCCTTCTTCTGCAACTCCTTCTTCTCCCTTTTGGGCTTCTGCTCGGCCAAAATCCTCGCGGCCTCCTGCTCCTGCGCCTTTGTATAAGGAGTGGTCCCTGTACCACCCCTCGTCAGGAATCTACAAGAAAACGTGTGCCAGAAGCCTAACGGAAACAGGAGACACCACAAGGTTCCCCACAGGGAGAAACCCACGATCAAGGAGTACATGGGATACTCGTCCATGGTGTACACTCCACAATAGAGGACTGTTTCACTCCTCACCACGTAGACTTACCCACCGACTGACAGGTGGTCTCTCTGATTCTACTGTAACTACAACTAACTCGTTGGCTGTCACTACAGGACTTCACTGCTGATCAGGAGGCATTTAAGGAGATCCCCCGTAACTCCTCAGGAATTCTTTAACGTCTCAAACAGGAGAACGTGATCAGCAAGTCCTCTCAACACTTTGACAGCTGGTTGTGCAGCCCACAACTCGGATTTTGGGCCAACCATGCCACACTGAGCAGCCCACCGGTCTGTACCGGTCCTTGGGAGGGTTAAGTCTCCGGGACGGGTCAGTCGTCAAACATGGACAACAACCCTACTCAGCACGTGTGGGTTTGGTCAACACAGCTATACGGCCTCATACATGGAATCCTATCACCTGGACAGAAGTGACTCAATGCAGAAAGAAGAGACAGATAGACTCAGCAAGTACCATATGGCAAGGGGATAGGTTGAAGGCTTGGCGAGATTATACCAGCTCCAGCTTGGTCAATATCTCGGTCAACGGACTTGGTCAACACCGGTCAACACTGTGATCAATATCGATGACCACCTTCGTCAACACCTTGATCAATGCCAATCAACGCCTTGGTCAACGTTGGTCAACCTCCTTGGTCAATGTCGGTCAACTCCTTGGTCAACACTGGTCAACTCCTTGGTCAACGCGCCGGTGAACTCGACAAGCTCGACTATGGTTGCCGACCCTCTCTCCTTCACCAACCTTCACCTTCCTCCTCTCTCTCCTCCCTTCTCTCTCCTCCCTTCTCTCTTCTTCTTCACGCTTGGTTATGGCTTCTCTCTCCTCTTTCGTCTCTCCTTCCTCCACTTTCTTTCTTCCTCACTTGGTCTTCTTTCTCGCTTCCAGTCCCTTCTTTTCCCTCTCCGTGTCCGCGCTCGGCGATTATGGCCGCCACTTTCCTCTTTGAGCCACAACAACCAATCTCTCTCTCTCTCTCTCTCTCTCTCTCTCTCTCTCTCTCTCTCTCTCTCTCTCTCTCTCTCTCTCTCTCTCTCTCTCTTTGTCGTTGTTTGTTGAGGTGCACGGCGTCCTTCTGCAGTGGCACAACTATGGCGGCTCCTTCCTCTATGGCGGACGTTGACGTGGTGCCCAGCTGGCACCTCTCCTCCTTGCGCTGTAGCGCAGATGCTGACCTGGTGCCCAGCTGGCGCCTCTCCTCCCTCTCGTGGGTGACGACAATGGCGATGCGGGACTGGGGGAACCAGCTCCGATACCAATTACAACCAAACTCGTCTTCTTCCTTACAGATGGCAGGCGCCCGCACAAAGCTCAGAGATATCGAGGCCAAGAACACAGTTCAGATTCAAACTTGCTTTGGATGGCTATGGCACCTGTGCGCCTACACACTTCTCAGCCAATACTGTATCCCCAACAACTATTCACACACACGCTACTCTGGATCTCCCTGGATGTCCAACACACACTCACACACTTCACACAACACACTCGCATATACACGCTTCCACCTATCTCTAACCTGCGGCAGCTATGACAGCCTTCTACTTCCTAGCTACTAGCGGCTATGACCGCTTTGTCTCCCTCACAGCCCACTTCTCCTTCGGGCACCTGCAGACCTCCTTGCACAAGACGCTCAGGCATCACTTCTGCACGACTCAGGCAGAATGAATGAATGACTGGACGCTGCCTCTTGATTTATACTTCGGATGGTCGCTGGTCTGCTCCTTTCCACTGGGCCCATAGTGCACACAGTCCCACATGGTACTTGCCGGCTGGACAAAGTGCGACTGGGACTGGGTACCGCTGACTAGGCGAGGTTGGACTGCCCACTTCCCTCAAGCCTAACCTTGGCAATTCTCGAAAGACCACTTCCGGACCTTCCCGAAGTCTGTAGACCTGGCCTTTCAAGACTGTAGCAGCTACGACCTTGACCTTTCAGGACTGTAGCAGCTACGACTTCTACACAGCTACGACCCCTACTTGACAGACCTACGGTTCAAGACCCAACGACCACACTAACCTCCAACAGACAACAAACGACTACCAAGACACAGGTAACGGGTTCAAACACAGGGGTCGACTTGGTACTGTACACGAGTGAGGGCAAGGTCTAGGGATCGAGCCCTGGGATCTGCATCTGCTACCATAAAGGTAAAAACCGTTTTAGTGTGTGTGTGTTAAGAGAACAGGCTGCTACTGAGCAATGAATCGCAGCGAGCTACTCACGAAAAAAAACACGCCCAGACGCAGCACATGATAAAATGAGCAATCAGAGATGGCTATGGTTTTCGGAAGAAAGAATAGTACCAAGGGATTGCATATAGGTATAACTTCTCGTCTCGTCATTATCCATGCCCAAGAGGATGCATTAATGGGAGAAGTTCGAGAGAACACATTTTTCCAATCGGACGATATGTGAGACGGGCAAGAAGAACACATTCATGGGAGAACAGCCAACATGTACCGATCGCGTACGCACTTCAGACCGTATATTCAACAACAAAGAATATCTGCAAAAAACATTTGGAGGGGGAAAGATTGAAGGAGCATAAGAGTAGAACCAACATGGAAAGAAGCTTTGAATTTCCGGTTGCTGTAGGAAACGTAGAAAATATATAATTATGTCTACCAAACCGCTATCATTTATCAAACCACACCGATTCATACATCACAACCATCGCAAAAATGGAGAGACGAGAAACGCATACATCACACAATTGAGGCAGCGAATTACTGCACAATATTCCTCTGTCGATCCTTGAAGAACAATACTTCAGCAGCCACCCTATCAATTACTCCACCGTCATATTCTCGAACTTGTCATAGTCGAATGTTTGGGAAGTGACGCTAAAGCTAGCACTTAATCCGGGGGACACCATATTAGTACTTTAGAACCCCACTACTGCACAAGAAGGCTGATCCCATAATGCTCCATCCAAATGCTCATCAACACGCCTTAGCCGTACGTACAAGGAGTGGTTATCATTACAGTCTTCCGCCGGCCTACTACCCATTCCTAAATCAGGACAATCGTGAAAAGCACCAAATCCATATCAACTTGGTGGCGGAGTGTAGCAGAAAAAAATAAACGATGAGGATCGTAGCTGCAAACCAAGGGATACCATGATACAACAGAAGCAACCAGAACCCATGCTGACCTAATGTGGCCCGCGTGGGTGAAACATATGTCCTTCTCTAGTCCGCATAGATGCATGCGAAGCAGATCTATGGTTGATGCTGCAGTAACCCCTATGATGAACCCAATAGAGACGATAAATAGCACCGCCGGTGCATCCACATCCTGAGCACGACCTCCTGGTTATGAAAAGCACAGGATTCCAATTGCAACTAGAGACGAACCAGATCAGTCGATATACACAGCGAGGACGCCTGTCAACTAGCAACTGTGATAAGATCAACGCGACTCCTATCCCCGACTCCGGGATGATGACGATCAAGGCACTAGATAGTCTATTGTGCTAATTGCGAGCGCAATACTTATCTGTAACAGCCTATCCGTGGAGTTGCGGAGGCAGCAACAAGGCTTGGAATCACTACACTGGAGAGCCGAGAATTCCATGATTACGAAGAAAGCCAGCAACGATAAAAAGATCGCAAAAATTGCGACGATGGCGACCGAGACGTAGCAGCGTCCATTGAAAAGCAGCCTCTTACACTCTCACCTCGAACCAGCAGCACAGGTCAATTCCTAAGAACACGACTCATTCACAACACATAACAATTATGGCGCAGAAAACAGATAAGTAGCAATCATATTCAACAAGATCTTTTTAAAAAAATTCAATATAACAGCCAAAAGAAGAAGGGGAAGTCCCAATTCGGATAAACGACTCAATAGTGTCGACGAAACAATAGGGTTATTTAGTGAGATTTCCCTAAAGCTTTTTCACCAATCCCCACTTTGATTGGTTCATCAGGGGAGGACGTAACCCAGGGTTTTCGCTTCGAAAGGGACAAGACATTCTTTCATGTCCAAAAGGGATAGGAGGGAAACATTCAGATAAGAAACAAAATTATTTATTATTTACAACAAATGGATAGGAGCGATGAACTGTTTACCACGCCAGCCGCTGAGGAAGAAGGGCCACTCATCTTCCAAGATCGACTGCACGACACCACTGACACTTTCCTGATCGACAACGATTAATCGGTTATCATACGAGAGTAGCACGATGAGAATTGACGAATCGACCTCCTGGCAACAAGGGATGGATCGAGTAGATGGCAAGAGGAGATGGAGGAAGAAGGCAACGGGAAGGAGGAGAGGATGACGGAACAAGAAATCCCCGAGGAGAGCGCGCGTCAATGCTGCCGAAGTACGCTTCGAAAAATGGAGACCGTCGGAAGTGTGCGCATTCTGCTTCTGTCCCATAGGCAAAAACAGGAAGGCACATACCGACGGCTCCTGAGAGAGGATGGACACCGGTTCTGAGCGATGCTATATATGAAACCATTGGCGGCGGTTTGTCACAATTGACTGGGCGGGAACAGATACGCGTAGCGCCGCACCATAGGATTACACCTAATTGCGGGGTACGACCCTCCGCACGTGAACTGGTAAGGCCTAGCTGGGTTGTCCTAGGCCCTGAGGTCCTATGGGCAAAGGGTGACCAGGGTCTGCCTTAGGAGAGAAAAAGGTTGTGTATACTTCCAAAATTCTGGAAAAAAACAGTTAAAAGGTCATTATTGTGTGTAATTTTATTATTTAATATTATTTATATTTTATTTTTTAATCTCTATTTTTTGTATTTTATATATATAAAAAAAAAAAACAATTTATTTGTTAAAAATATATATATGCTTGTGTGTGTGTGTGTGCGTGTGTGTACGTATAATATGCGATGACACGTTTAGCCTGCGTCATGCATTTCTCCAATGAAAGATCACCGACGCACCTCGTACTCCGTAACCGTGCAGGTACATCACGTCTCAAGCGTGGCAGGAATGGCATTTACCATGGCAAATGGATATGGATAATTTCATGTTCTTCCTCGTCTCATTGCTACCTAGCGACAAAGGGCTCATCCCCTTATGCGGACAACACAGGCACACAAGGCAGGCATACGACAACAACCAGCAGACAACAGAATAGTACATCACAAACAAACACAGAAGAAGGGGGGGAGGTACGACAACGAAGCCGAGGGGCAGAGAGGCAATGTGTTGTTGGATGGCAAGGCACAACAAGGCACATAGACTGAAGGGCACACGGGGGGAGCGAAAAGTTAAGACAACATATAGGCGGGAGGGCATAGGGGAGGCGGGAGGGAAGACAATACACAAGCACATAAGGCAGGGAAACGACAACAACCAGTGGACAAGGAAGTACCAAAACCAAAAAAACTGAAAAAAATAAAACTAATGATGATAGATTGTTTCGTCAGAGTTGCACCGGCTCATCAGGAGGCTGAACCCTCGACAATCTGCAGAGTCTTCGTACTGGATGGTTTGGGTCATGAACCCTTTAATCATGTTGAAGGCAGACTGTCCCCAAGTGGCACATAGCAACGGGCAGCAACCCTGCGGCGCACCAGGCAACGCAGTAGAGGCAACACTTCTGCGCAATGCCAAAAAACGACTGCACAGAACGAGACGACACACAGCACGGCAACCAGGCAGTGAAGCACAAGGCAGCACCACCAAGGCAACGGCGTTGCAAGGGACTACAGGGCGAGTGGATGAGGAACACAGCAACCATGCGGTTCAAGCACAAGGCAACACCAACAAGACAACTGAACTACAAGGTGTGCAAGCAAAGGACACGGAAGGCACGCCCAGCGGAAGGGCGAAAAGGCAGCGGAGCAGCGAAGCGCAAGTTAACAACACGGGCACACCACACAGCGAACACAGCAGCTTGCAGAGAACCACATGCGGAGCAAGCGGGACAGGCAGCAAGGCAGCGGTGGAGCGCAGACGAGGCAGTCCACACATCCAACATGGAGCAAAGCGGCACATCACGATAGAGCACTTCAGACTGTTGGTTCCCACCACCCATTGAGCCAGAGAGTCACTCAGATGCACATCCGTCATCACCTGCAGAAATCACAAACATCCCAAACTGAGTGGCCCCCCTAAGAGGGATGTAGAAGGCGGGGGGGGTGGAGATGATGGAGATGATTGTATGGGACAACGGTGTTCATGGCGCAAGGTTGGGGCTCGGTTGGGGCAGGGGTACAGCTGTTGCGGCGGCAGGGGGAGCGCGGCGATGAATAGCACGAAGGCAAGGAATGCCAAGAAGGCAATGAATGTTGTCAGAAGGCATATTGCATCCGCGTTTGCCGCTGCGTTGTCCTCCTTCGTGCTCTCCATAGCTTGTGCTGCGCTTCATGCCATGGTTCCTGCGAGCGAGCTAGCTGCAAATCCAAGCGCAAAGAAACAGGAAGTCGTTGCCGCAGTAACGAAGCAGGTAGTGCATAAAGTGCGCAGAGGTAAGCTCTAAGATGGCTAGCAGGTGCGAGGAGTGCTTGCTCCGACTGACACCAAAGGAAGAGAACGCGCAAGATAAGAAGACTAGGGAAGAGTACAAGCGAGAAGACGGCCATGAAGGCCAATACACTGAGAATGAGAGTGTGGGTAAGAGGGCAGGGGATGAAGGTGGGAAGTTGAGGCGCCGGGGAAACTGCTGCTGCTGGAGGCTGCTCGCTTGGAAGGAGAAGAGGTGCTGGGCACTCCATGACACATGATCGAGATATGGCGGCTAGAAGAATACCGTCCCCTAGTTGTGCACCTGTCGCATACTGTAAAGGTGCAGACCAGAACAAGAACCGACCGCTCTCACATAGTACAAGATAGCGCAGCGGAAGGCTAAAATACCAATGATCCAAACAACCAATGTCGCAATGCGGACCCAGCATACATCATCATCATTCCATGGTGTGAAGGGGGCCTGGCGCTTACACTGGAAGAATGCGCCAGTCCCCAACCATACACAGACGAAGAAGAGGGGGGTTAGACGAAGAAGAGAGGAAGATGGGAATGTCGTCAACACCAAGTCTTCGGTACAGGTCCCAAATAATCCCCCGTCCAATGTCTCAATCTCAATGTCGAGTCTGGATCCAAATGTCGTCAAGTCTCTAAGTCACCAATCTCTCTCTCTCTCGTAGTCTACGGATACTGAGAAGTCAGGTAGCGAGAGGGTGAGGGAGAGATGGTGGACTTAGAAGAGGAAGAAGAAGAACTCTCCCTCTCTCTCTCAGTCCGGTACTAACCTGTGAAGGTGGCGCCTTGTTGCAGGTACATCGAAGACGAAGCTGGAGCTATGGCGCCACAGGTAAGCCTCCGCCAACCATCTCTCTCTTTCCAACGCTACTCTAGTTCCTAATAACGCCCAACGCTGAAGACTACTGCTAACGCTACTACTACTACTGCAGCGCTCCTCCAGAGTGCTGTTGCCGAATCCTGAAGACTGCCTCCTGCCTCCCGCACGTGAAGTGCCTGGGAAGTCCCTATGAACTACCTCTTGACTACCTGCAGCCTGTAGGGCGGGCCACTCCTATATAATGCTGGCCCGTCCAGGAGGCTGCTCTTGCCAGTGCCAAAACGTGCCAGACCCTGGCGTTGAAGTTCAAACAAAGGTTGCCTTGAAAACAGGCCCAAAATGGCCTGTGCTAAAACCCTGGTCTGGTGCCAAAGTTTCAGGGCAGGTCGACTTTATGAGGGTCTGAAAAGGACCCTTGTTTTCAGGCTTTTAGGCTCAAACGACACAGGGCCTGTAGGCCCTTGTTTTCAGGCTTTTAGGCTGAAACGACACAGGGCCTGTAGGCCCTTGTTTTCAGGCTCTTAGGCTGAAACGACACAGGGCCTGTAGGGCCCTGAATTTCCGTCTGGTCGGGCCTTGCAGGCCTGTGTGGCTGCGCAGTATGCCACACACCCCCCTCCTTGAAAGACCGAGCTTACCTGCGAGGGCGAAGCTGCCTGTCGGAGAGAGGGACGAAAGTCCAGGTGGGAGGGTCAGGTTTGTGAAGCTTCCTTAGCTAGTCTTTGTCGCTCGTAGTCATCGTAGATCAGCGTTGTAGATGCTTGCAAATCTGTTGGTGTCCAGAATATCGAAGGACACGATCTCGCTCTTGCATGTGGGGCGAAGTACATGGGAACGGAGTTAATGCACTGGTCGATTGACTTGTGCGTATGACCATCTGCCAACGTGACTTGCGTGGGCTGCGACTTCCTCCGAACGCGTGGCCGCAGGCCACCGCGTACCAGAAAATCTTGGCTCATGTGGTTGCGAGTAGCTCCGCAATCGATCAAAGCGTTGCAGGTCGCCTCTCCGATCTGAATGTGTATGTACAACAATAGCACGTCGATGTCGTCGTACCGTTGTGTCTTGAACTCGCGGGCGATCTTCGCAACGTAGTCGTGAAGGTCAACAACCTCTACTTTGGTGTCCATCAACGGAGCTGGTACTGCAGTGTGCAAGTAATCCCGCAATTGTGCCTTGAGCACGTCGCAATGCGGTTTTGACAATCGACCGGGCGGGGGAAGGGGCATCTATTGGAAGTCCGTGAATGTCAACAGGTTGAGCTCCTCAAGTCTTGACCATGACGCCGAATCCCCGACGAAAGTTGGCAGCGAAGATGCCGAATCGGTTGCCGATGGTGGTGAAACCATGCATGCGGTGGATTGTTGCACATGGAGTGGTTGGTCCAACGGTGGGACCAAGTGGACAGCATAATCCTCGTAAGATTACCGAGGACTTGCGACATGCGACTCCTCCCCAGATGTGTAGGAGGCCGCTAGCAAGGCGGCCGAATCTGGCGGAGTGAGAGGTGGAATCGCCTCACCTCCCGCGCAGCTCAGTTTCCCGAATTGTGGTACTGACTGTCCATTTTCGGCTGGCGATGCGGTTTTCGCCTTCCCTTTTCCCCAGGAGTTGTTGTTGCTTCACGGCTGGACGACGGCCACCTGATCTCCTTCACGTGATGCTGAGGTGTCTGCCGGATTTTCCGCAATGTTGTTCGGTTGGGCTGCAGCGGTGGGCTGCGGACACGGACCAAATCTTCCTTTCTTCACATGGGCTGGCTGCCACGCTGACTTCTCGTGTGCATGCCCAATGATGAACCCGTCATGGTGGCGGGGCCCTGCTGACTTGGTACTGCTGACATGGCACTGCCGCTGACGTGGCACTGCCGCTGACGTGGCACTGCAGCTGACGTGGCACTGCAGCTGACGTGGCACTGCTGCTGACGTGGCACTGCAGCTCACAAAACACTGCTGTTGTCGTGGCACTGCAGCTCACAAGACACTGTGATTTGGCACTGCTGACGTGGCACTGCTGACGTGGCACTGCTGACGTGGCATTGCTAACATGGCACTACTGACGTGGTACTTACCAAACCGGGCATGCAGGCAAAGGTTTGGGTGGGAGGGAAAACGCAGGACGGTAACCAACCAAACTGTACTTTCCTCCAGGTCCTAATCAACAGACTAAAAAAATAAAATAAAATAAAAGAAGAGGATTCCCTCCTCCTTTTTTTTTTTTTTTTTTCTTTGAAAATCTGTTGA